GAAATGGGGTTTAACGTCCTACTGTTCTGCTCCGAACTGGGCAATGAAGACGGGCATACGCCATACAGTGTGCTATGAGGGAAATTTTGCCCCGACACGGGACCTCGGTTTTCCGTCCCATCCGAACGACTAAACAGCTGTCCTTGTCAGGCCCTCATCTGGAAAATCTGGATGAACTTTCTCGGCCAATGCAGGGCTCAAGCACTCGACCAGGCTAGCGAGCCAGCGTCTTACCCACTTAGCCACCGGAATCAAGCACCCGACCTCCAGGCTAGCGAGCCAGCGTCTTACCCACTTAGCCACCGGAATCAAGCACCCGACCTCCAGGCTAGCGAGCCAGCGTCTTAGCCACGTGACCCCCGATAAGTAGAGCGCTAAATGCGCAATATAAGAACTCACTATTATTATTACATGTATAGAAGGGGGTGGGGAGATCGTCTAGCTCCGGCACATAAATATTTATCTCGGCGGCTCTTTTCAAGGTAATGAATATTTTAATATTCATGAGATTCTTGGTGCCAGAGATTGTAGTACAACGGGTTGTCCCAATGTATACGAATATAGAATATTGAAGATGAATACTGAATATAAATACTGAAGTTGAATACAGAAGTTGAATACCGAATATGTTTGAACATGTATATTGAAAATGAATACTGTGTATAAGATGTGAATATGAATATTGAATGTAAATATGCATATCGAGTGTTGAATAGCGAATATGAATAATGAATGTTATATTGAATATAGATATTGAATAGTATATTGAATATGGATATTGAATATTATATTGAATATGGATATTGAATATAATATATTGAATATAATATATTGAATATAATATATTGAATATAATAGATTGAATATAATATATTGAATATAACAGATTGAATATGAATATATTGAATATAATATATTGAATATAATAGATTGAATATGAATATATTGAATATAATATATTGGATATAATATATTGAATATAATAGATTGAATATGAGTAGATTGAATATGAATATGAATATGAGTAGATTGAATATGAATATGAATATGACTATTGAATATGACAATTAAATATGGCTATTAAATATGACTTTTGAATTTGAATATTGAATTTGAATATTGAATTTGAATATTGAATTTGAATATTAAATACGATCAGTGACGAATCTATGGTATAGAAGATAGGGCACGTGCCCTGTTGCCACTGAGAGGTACAGTCAGTCAGACTATTCTCCTGTGTAACCTAGGAAGAAGTGAAGGGAGGCGGTGACTGGCATAGTGGTTTAACGCTTGCTCGTGAAATCATAAGGTCTGTCATTGAGTCATGTGATGTGGTTTCGATTCCCCGCTTGCACGTGGCAAGGAGTAGTGTCCCCTGTCCAACCACACTCCCTCTCTCTCTCGCTCAACCTTTGTCAACGTCAAACATGTACTGTTGCTCCAATCAACTCAGAATAATAGAAGTTCGAGTATAAAATCTGTAAAAAATATCGATGGCTCGGTTAAAGGGAAATAACTCCAGTCATTTTTATTTATAAAGCCAACCACACTACCTTGTCCTTAATCAATGCCTCTCTAGTTTCATGTGATAACGCGGATTGCGTGTAGTTACTAAATAAGAATCTCGATAAAACAGGAGCAAGTCTTTGTTTGCGCCTTTTTGCTAATTAGTTGTATTTAAAAATATCTTTCTTTCAGTAGAAAATTCCCCCCAAAATATAAAAGCGCTAACGGAATAACTGACAGATGTAGATTTGGTATGTCTGGTTATATTACTATATGTATATAAGAACAAGAAACTAACCATTGACAAATTTAAATTGTTCAATACATCGTTTAATTTCACACCAACTAAGTTTCTAGTTTAGGTCAATGGTTCAAAAGAACTCAAAATTGAACGGTGGATTGCATTTTAATTCTTCATGACTTACACACACATTATGCAAGAGCTAAATCTGTCTATTGCATGTCTTTCTTTAGGCCTGAAATGTTATCTAAATTATTAATTAGACATTAATTAACTGATCCAGGCCATAATTAACTACCGATGCTACCGGATGCGTCTTATTTTAAGTAGATTAGAACGGAACATTCATGTAATTGTTAAATTTAAAAATGGTGAAGTGAGAATAAGACCAGTAACTTCAAAGGTTAATATTTTCGCTCAGAATAAAGTAATTTGAATGAAATTTTCAATACATGTATCTTCATTTCATTATTTATTGTTGAACTTTTATAGAGAGAGAGAAAGAGAGAGAGGGGGGGGGTTTAACGTCCACTTTACACAAACTAGGTCATTTCGGGACTTACATATGGTTCAGTTTTGTTTCAACCATTGACTTGCGCGCGTAGGGCTCTTTAGCGGTGGGGTGAACCCGGGGGCAGACGACCCTACTCCCTCTCACGTACAAGCGGGGAATCGAAACCACGTCACTTGACTCGGTGAAATACCTTATGATACAACGCGCACGCATTATCCATTAGCCTATCTACCCCCCCCCCCCCCCCGTTGTAGCAAGAACGATCAGCTCTCTATCTAACTGCTACATAATGCATTATTAACATTTAATTAAAGATAAGCGTTAAATCTTATAACAGATCTTTATCTGACTTCAAATGTTATATAAACTATTATTTACATATTTATTCACATGACATTGACAAGCTCATAATCAACTCTCCAGGCGATCAGATGACAGAGATTTAAATAGATTTAAACACATTCGCTATCAAATCATTGAGTTCAAAAATGGTTAATCTAGACCCAGTCTCAATTGTCAAGTACTGTAATACTATTTCGTAATTTACGCGAAATTGTATTAGACGAATATAAGTGCATGAGGGGACATGAGTTATAATTTGATAAATACATATGTTTTATTTCTATTCTCCATTGTCAGTATATTAGTTATGGTATGAGTTTTTTAAAACGCAAATTAAATTGGTTATGAAATATTGTGAGGAAAACAGAAAGTCTGTGCTGATACATGATTGAACTATAGGTTATAATGCTTGTAACCATGTAACCTATATATAGCAGTGCTGGATATAAAATGTACAACCGAACGTGACGTTGCCATTAATGTGAGATGTCGGAGTGGCATTAATAGATACATCCAAACCAGTTAAAGAATTACAGACACAATAGTCCATGATGATGATGCGAGCCTAATTTTCTTTTTTTTTGCGGGGGAAAATTTTAGCTGCTTGTTTCCTAACATTAACTTCAATTTCTTCAACAGTTTTGGAATGCTGAGCAGGTTTCATACACCGTTTTAGCTCCTTTAATTCTTAATTTGTCCGTAAAACGCTGGTAACATGGAAGATGATACCCCAGTGTCTCGTCTGCACATTCCTGGAGTTCTTGGTCAAACAAATCCGCGTTTTTCTCCGCCAAAAGCCTGTCATTTCCGTCTAATTTCTTCCACTGGTTAGCACAAACCTTAAATTTTGCCCAGCTTGTCCCTGTAAACGGTTTTAGCTCAGTTGATTTTACGGAATCTATATGAAGAATACAACGAACAATTTTGTCTCCTCTTTCCGCCGGGGGGGTTGGATGGCTGATTGGTTAGCACGCACGCGCTGTATCATAAAGTCTGTCATTGAGTCAACTGGCGTGGTTTCGAATCCCCGGTTGTACGTGACAAGGAGTAGGGTCGCCTGTCCAACCTCGTGGGTTTTCTCCGGGTCCTCCGGTTTCCTCCCACTACTAAAGACCCCTACGCGCAAGGGAATTATTGAAATAAAATTAAACCATATGTTAGTCCCGAAATGACCTAGTTTGTGTCGAGTGGACGTTAAACCCCATTTATCTCTCTCTCTCTCCGCCATGTTACTATCAAAATGTAAACAGATTGGTGATCTTTGACACCCCACGACCTGTTGAACTTTTCGTCGTGTATGTCTGATTGGCCAATTATGTCACGTGATCTTTTAAAACCAAATCACCGCGAAATTCAAATACCATTGCACATTGACAAGTAAGCCCATATTTAATTTACATTTTCTATCAAACGTCAAAGATTGGATAAAAGAAAAGTTGTGTGACAATACTAGAAGAATTAGATGATGTAGGTTTTTTTTCACCCGAAAATGGTCGGACCGGAGATAGAGAAGCAAGCTAGCTAGAAATTTCACACCACAGCTTCATTAAGAATATAATCAGTGTGACATAAATCTTGAGCAAACAACACAAAGGTTTCAACTGATCAAGTGTTGTGTTTTGTATCGGTAGGCTAATGCCAGGGGTCATCAATTCCTTGGTGGTTATTGATGGGTATAACCACTGCAGTCACCATGTTCAATTCGTCATATATCTTTCGGGGGGTGGATGGCCGAATGGTTAGTTGAGTCAACTGGCGTGGTTTCGAATCCCCGGTTGTACCTGACAAGGAGTAGGGTCGCCTGCTGTCCAACCTTGTGGGTTTTCTCCGGGTCCTCCAGTTTCCTCCCACTGCTAAAGACCCCTACGCGCAAGCGAATTATTGAAATAAAATTAAACCATATGTTAGTCCCGAAATGACCTTGTCACGTACAACCAGGAATCCGAAACCACGCCAGTTGACTCAATGACAGGCCTTGTGATACAGGGCGCGTATGCTAACCATTCGGCCACCCCCCCCCACCCCCACCAAGAGAGAGAAATAGGGTTTAACTCCACTCGACACACACTAGGTCATTTTTGGACTACATGTAACACATGGTTCAATTTTTTATTTCAATAATTTGCTTGCGCGTAGGGGTCTTTTGCAGTGGGAGGAAACCGGAGGACGCGGAGAAAACCCACGAGTTTGGACAGACGGCCCTACTCCTTGTCATATACAATAGGGGAATCGAAACCACGCCACTTGACTTAATGATAGACTGTATGATATAGTGCGCACATGCTAACCCCTGCAGTGTTGTAGCAAATGGTCTTGGTGTGTGCACACGGGTAGTGGGCGACCATAGTAAAATATACAATCGACAGCTGTTTTACGGATTTGTTAATTTGCGTGATAAAGGAAGACAAAAACAACAAAATTAAATATATTTTATAATTAAACATGAACAAATATAAATCTGAGAAAAGGTCAGAATAAACTGTGGAATTACGATAAATTAATATTAATCAGTGAAGGGTACAAGTAATAATATTGTAGAAGTTATGACATTGGGATTATTGGTGGCTTTCTATTTTTCATAAACAAATTCTCTTTGAAGTATGGGAAGACATGTCCCTCTAATTTATGTATATGTAATTGATGTTTAATGTAATTGATGTTTAATGTAATTTGTGTATAATGCACTGTATATATATTATAAATATAACTTATGTATAATGTAATTTATGTTTAATGTAATTTATGTATCTGTAATGTACTGTATATAAATATAATTTATGTGTAATGTATTATGAACATGTACTTAATGCATGTGAAATGTAATGCAATCATGTAATTGATGTGTCTGTTATGTAATTTATGATTAATGTAATTTATGTATATTTTAATTTATGTATATTTTAATTTATGTATCTGTAATGTAATTTCTGTATAGTGTAATTATGTATCTTATGTAATTCATGTATATGCAATTCATGTATCTGTAATGTCATTTCTGTATAAAGTAATTTATGTATAGTGCAATTAATGTATAATGTAAATTCTGTATCTGAGATTTAATTTTTTTATAATGTAATTAATGTATATTGTATTTTATGTATCTGTGATGTAATTTATGTATGAGATTTTGGGTTAATGGGAAATGTTGATGGAGGTTGTTGAGAGTTGTTGATGCAAGTTAATGATGAGAGTTGTTGATTGGAGTTGTTGTTGATGAGAGTTGTTGATGAGAGTTGTTGATGTGAGTTGTTGATGGGGAAGTTGTTGATGGTAGAGTGGTTGATGTGGATTGTTGATGAGGGAGTTGTTGATGAGAGTTGTTGATGGGAGTTTTTAATTAGAGTTGCAGTTGTTTGTGTGGATTTCAAAATTACACTCACAATTAAACGATTTCCTACACTTGAGACACATAAATGGCTTCATGTCATCGTAAACCTCATAATGAAGTTTCAGATTTGTCAGGTGTGTGTACGATTTCTGACAAACATCACATTTAAACGGCTTCAACGAGCCGTGAGATTTTTTGATATGAATGTACAGATCGGGAAAAACAGTAAATAATTTACTACAAGTATCGCAATTAAAAGCACTATGATCTCTGATATGGGCTTCAATGTCTGTCAAATTAACATACATCTTCTGACAAATTTGACAAATATGACAAGTAAAAGCTCCGTGGTCATCTGCCATATGAGTACGAATATCGGACGGATGGATAAAAAATTGATTGCACACAGGACATTTTAAAGGACCATGTGTTTTTGCATGTTCTTGTAAAGAATTAAAATGGGTAAATGTTTCACGACACACATGACACTTGTATTGTTTTTTACGTTTAGTTTTAATAGTTTTTTTTGGTTCAGTCTTCATCGAGAACATTTTACCACATTTCTTACAAGGGTGAATCCAATTCTCTTCCAGGGTTTCTCCGACATCGGATGAGTTCGTATTTTTGCTGGTATTCTCATGATTAATGGTTTTGTAACATATTTCATGAAATGTACATTCTGTTGATTCCTCTTCTTTAAAATGTATTTGACAATGTTCTTTTAAGTCGGTGTACAATTCAAATTTTTCCTCACATAATTTACACTCGTGGATTTTTCTATCATGATCAGCTTGCTCTTCTTTAACATGTATTTTACTATGATTTTCTACATCAGTTGTCTTATCTTCAAGGTCTATACGGCAGGCTTCATCTAATTCATCGGTTTTCTCCACTTTAATATGTATTTTATTGTGAACTTCTAGATCACTGTACTCTTCAAAAATCTCATCGCATACAACACACTGATGGAAAGTTTTAACATCATCAGTTTCCTGTAATATAAAAAAAGTTGTAACAACATTAGTTTCCTTTATAAAAGTCATAACATTATTATATTCCTCAAGGGGGTGGTGGATGGCTGAATGTTTAGTGGACGTAAAAACCCATTTCTCTCTCTCTCTCTCCCTAGTGTCATCTGGAATCATGAGCTTCATACATAATTAGCGACTATTAAACCCAATTCATATCAATAACAAACCGTTGCCATGCAAGATACGCCCATATTTTGCAAGAGATGGACGGAGAACAAGCTAAAAAAGCTATTTTTTGTACAATCAGGGGCCACAATCCAGGTTGTTACTGTCCAACAAGTGACAATATCAAAAGGAACCAAGATCCTTTAGTTACAAAGACACATTTCAATTTTTTTTTATTATCAAAATCAGATTAAAATTGTGACCTCTTACGAGTGTCCACAAGCTAGAAACGTGATTTTTCATACAATCAGGGGCCATTATTCATGAATTTGCGGTCTGATATATGTCAATATCACAAGGAACAGAAATCTTTGGAAGATAAACCTATATTTCAAGTTTTATCAAAATCGGAGTAAAATTGTGACATGTAGAGTGTCCACAAACAAATGTGAATAGACAAACACGAAAAATATAAAAATCTGGGCGTATAAAAATATTCTGGTTTATACTTACATCTAGTTCAGAATTATGGAATGGTATATTCTTTGTTAAACTGTCTTCTATCGGCACTGTTGGAATACTTTCATTCTTCAAAATTCGACTGGATAATACATCTATAAAAAATTTTTTTTTTTAAATATGTTTACTTAAAGATACATTATGGGAGATTGGATAAAGAGCTGGCAGTTCTCACTATAATAGTTAAAACTAGATAATGTAAAGAAAATTTGCTGAAAATTACAGTCAAATTGATCGACCCTGACCCGAGATTTTAGCGATTCATTTTCGACCTAGCCTTGATCATCATTACTAAAGTCAGTACGATAAAAAACATGGTCTCGATTATCCATTTCATAATGAAATCAAGAATGAGAGTGGAGCAGCAAATGGTATCCTAATCCAGTAAACATTGCAGGCTAGCGATGACATCGAGAGTTGATTATGGTCTGGATAAGTTAATAAATGTGTAATTAATAATTTATATAACATTTCAGGCCTAAAGAAAGACTTGCAATAGGCAGATTGATCTTTAATGTATGTTTAAAAGGCAGGTGGGTGCTCCACAGATTACATGATCTGTCTTTAAGTGAAAGAGGCATGGTTTCGACCTTAAGATTGTACGTGACAAGGTGTAGGGTCACCTGTCAAGCGTGCACCCTCCCCTGAACGTACTAAAGGCTGGACTTGGAAATTAAATGTCCATTTTCAGCTCGAGATATGTCACTTACAGAAGCATGTAATAAACTGAATGATTTCTTTTACTGCATGAGTATAAACTGTGTCGAAACCACATTCACTGCGGACGAGTTCAGGGAGACCTTGTCATATCTGGGGCTCAATTTTGTGACTTTGTCACTATTTCTAGAAAGGATTTCTGCATAGCGAGAATTTATCCAGAAAATAGAAACCATACAGAAGATTCTTTCAAAATTAGCATGTTTTAACAAGCTAATTTTGAAAGAATCTTATATGTTGAACACGTTAAGCCATATTTTATAAAAAAAAATAAAATTATACATATATCTTTAAATTTCAGTCAAATTGATCCACTCTGAACTGAGAATTTAGTGATTGAACTTTAGGTCTAGCCTCGACCATCATTACTAAAGTTGGTACGATATAAAACATAGTCTCGATTATCCATTTTTTGATTTAATCATCAATGAGAGTTGAGCAGCAGATCGGATTCCAATCCAGTAAATATCACAATTCAGTGAAAATCGCAATCTAGCATTGACATTGAGAGTTGGTTTGAATAAGTTACTAAATGTCTAATAATTCAGACAACATTTCAGGCCTAAAGAAAGACCTGAAATAGGCAGATTTAGCTCTTGTATAATGTAAGTCTAACTAACCTGTGGCAGCATCAACTACTATATTCTCTCTCTCTGTCATTTTATCATTCAGGGTATATTCTTCACAGATTTCATCCTCCACCTGTTCAGATTTTATTGAAACTCTGTAATGAAATTTATAATTAAATAAAATCTTTACGATCTAATTAAAATACAGATCTATATTTTGTTTTGTTTCTTTATACTCTCGATGGCTTCCACTACATGAAGATCTGACCAGTTGTAACGGGAGATCGCGTCAGGGATCATACAAGTGGATTTTGACTCTGTGACTTCAGACAATTGATTAACCAATCAGCGTTTATGTTTCTAGTGGGATACCCACAGTTCCTTGCACCACTCGCCAAGAAATTGCCGTAACATACAATTTCATTGACTGATATATCTAACATGCAGGGCTGCCGACAACCAGTAAACAGCAGCGCAATTTGCGATGCATATTTTGTCCATTGCTAATCAAAAATTAAAATCTACCATTTTTGATTCCCAGTAACTGCAAATCATTAATATGCCTGTCATTTTGGATATTGACACGAAGATTTATCCACATTTCTCAACACTTTCAAAGTGTATAAAATATCAAATAAATTTTATAAGCAAAACTGAATTCTCTGTGTGGCATTTTCTTCTCGAACTACCCAGACGCAATTCATTATACTATATAATAAAGGCACATAACTCTATGAATTGGAACTATTAAACCGGAAATAGGGCATCAAGTAGTACCACTCATGTTGCGAGACATGTCAATTTCAAGTAATTATATTAGTATTCAATTTGAAAAAAATAAATTCAGTGTATTCCCCCACGTATTGTAAATAAAATATAAAACATAAATACGTGTAAACGTATTGTAAAATGAGAAATCAAAGTAAGAATTCCTGTAAAATATTATTGTTTATATCGCGTGTGTCGAGTTAATCGAGATTATTCGTAAAATAGTATATACATGTACCGTGTGCATCCGATTGAACAAAAATAGTAACACACGATAAAAAGCAGACGAAATTGTTTTCTAAAGAAGAAATAAGAACTACCAGCGGCTACCAGGCAGGATACGCCCACATTTTGCAAGAGATGGATAGAGAACAAGCTAAAAACAAACGTGATTTTTTTTGTACAATCATGGGCAATCATCCAGAAAGTTATGGCCTGAAATGTGCAAATATCAAAAGTGACTAAGATCTTTGGGATATAAAGACATGTTTTAGGTTTCATCAAAATCGGATAAAAATTGTGACCTCTAGAGGGTCCACAACGTTCGTATTACACACTTATACACAATTTGCATACAAAGAGCGGCCATTTTGTCGGGGAATTTCATTTCGATTTTCCCGAAATATGGTGGAATGGTGATGTATGTAAACGGTTTTTAAAATCGGAAAAAAATTGTGAGCTCTAGAGAATCCGCAAGCTAAAAATGCAATTTTTCGAACTATCAGGGGCCATAATCCAGGAAGTTAAGTTCGGATATCCGCGATTATCAAAATGAACCAAGATCTTAGTGTGTAATGGTGATATATTCACACATTTTTTTTTTAAATCGGATAAAAATTGTAACCTGTACAAGGACCACAAGCTAAAAACGTGATTTTTTGTTCAAGGGCCATAATTCAGGAAGTTACGATCCGATATGCACGAATATCGACAGGAACCAATATCTTTGGGTTATAAACATGTATGTCACGTTTCATCGAAATCGGATCAAAATTTTGACCTCTAGAGGGTGCACAACCTTGATTTACCAGATGTTTACACTATTTGCGTATGAGGGGCGGCCATTTTGTCCAGCAGTTTTGGCCCGATCTTCACGAAATTCGCAGTCAACAAACATTACGGTGTAACGGTGATATATTCAAACGTTTTTTTAAATCGAATAATAATTGTGACCTCTAGAGGGACCACACGCTAAAAACGCGATTTTTCATACAACCAGAGGCCATAATTCAGGAAGTTACGATCCGATAGGTGCAAATATTGAAAGGACCTGAGATATTTGGGTTATAAACTTGCATTTCAAGTTTCATCAAAATCGGATCAAAATTGTGGCGTCTGGAGGTTCCACAACTTTGATATACCAGATGTTTACACTATTTGTGTACAAGGGGAGGCCATTTTGTCTGGCAATTTTGGTCGAATTTTCATGAAACTCAACCTCAAACAAATTTACGGTGTGACGGTGATATATTGTAACGTTTTTTTAAATCGGATAATAATTGTGACCTCTAGTAGGACCACAAGCTAAAAACGTGATTTTTCGTACAATCAGGGGCCATAATTCAGAAAGTTACGATTCAATATACACGGAAATAGAAAGGAACCAAGATATTTGGGTTATAAACATGCATTTCAAATTTCATCAAAATGAAAATTGTGACCTCCAGAGGGTCCACAACCCTGATACACAATATTTTGACACTATTTGCGAATGAGGGGCGGCCATTTTGTCCGTCAGTTTCGGTCCGACTTTTACGAAATTCGAACTCAACTATCCTTAGGGTGTAACGATGATATATTTTTAAATCGGATAAAAATTGTGGCCCCTATGGGGTCCACAACTTAAAAACGTGATTTTTCGTACAATCAGGGGCCATAATTCAGGAAGTTATTGTCCGATATGCGCGAATATCGAAAGGAACCAAGATCTGTGGGTTATAAAACATACATTTCAAGTTTAAACCAAATCGGATAAAAATTGTGACCTCTACAGTGTTCAAAAGCTAAAAAGGGGCCATAATCCATGAAGTTACAGTCGGATAGATGCCAATATCGAAAGGAACCGAGGTGTTAGGGTGATAAACCTATATTTCAAGTTTCATTGAAATCGAATAAAAATTGTGACCTGTAGAGTGTTCACAAACAAATGTGGACGGACGGACAGGGGCGACGACATTATACGTCCACATGAAAATGTGGGCGTATAAAAATGAGTGGGACTTTGGAAGCCACTGCCAAGAATTGGCTTCAGACATAAGGCCTAACCAAAAGTCTACATTCAGAAATGTTCACAGTTACCTGTAGCAGTGCTAAAATTATAAAAAATCTTAATTAAGAATGAAATCTAATCATTTGTTATAAATTAAAATAATCTTGTTATTTAGGTGTTTTATGTTGAAACTGAAAAACTGCTAATCAATTTTAAAATTTTCTAATCAAATTTGGCAAAATTGGACTTTTTGATTAGCAGTGCTGCTAATCAACTGTGAAAAATTACCCATAGCCCTGCTAACATGATGTACATGTAGAACAGTTTGCAGGAGAGAGAGAGCGAGAGAGAGAGAGAGAGAGAGAGAGAGAGAGAGATAGTCTTTATTGTCCAATCAACACAAACTAGGGCATTTCGGGACAACCACATGGAACAATTTTATTTCAATAATTCGCTTGCACCCAGATGTTTTAGCGGTGAGAGGAAACCGTAGGACCAGGAGAAAACCCACGAGGTTGGACACGCGACCCTACTCCTCGTCACATACAACTCGGGAATCGAAACCACGCCAGTTGACTCAATGACAGACCTTATGATCTGAAGTGCAGTGCACACGTTAGTCCATTCGCCCACCCAACCCCCCACCGTCGACAAAAACATGATTCTGGGCCTCTGTATGAGGGATACGATGAGCACATGTGACAGGAAATAATTGTTCTAAAGCTGATAAACCCATTGTTACCTTGAAGTCTTTGATTTCTCAATATACTCATAATGTGGAGCAGAGATAGGATCTGGTTGACCATTTAAAAAGTGCTGAAATATGAAATAAATAAGATGAATTAAGATTGGCCAACATGTAGGCTACATAATTACATGACTATTTAATTCACATCTAGATAATTACTACTTGATTCTTGGGTATCATGCTTTTACTGCTTTTTAAAAATTTTTGTTAACTTATTTTAACTTGAAATTAAGGCCTATGCCTAAACTATTCTGCCCGAAGGGAGGGAGGGAGAGAGAGAGAGAGACAGAGAATGGGGTTTAACCTCCACTAGACACAAACTAGGTCATTTCAGGACTAACATATGGTTCAATTTTATTTCAATAATTGGCTTGAGCGTAGGGAGAAAAATCACCTACAACCGGGGAATCGAAACCACGCCAGTTGACTCAATGACAGACCGTATGATACAGCGCTCACGTGCTAACCATTCGGCCATCCAACCCACCTTGGTGCTAAAGGAGGAGGGTTATGATTAACTGCATGTAAAAGCAACATAGGCTATTTCTTGATTATATGATACTGATAGGTACGAATCACCTCACTTTGAAATTAAACGTCTCAAGTGAGTAACGAATCGACCACGTACGAAACGGCTTATTGACGAAACTTCCAGATTACATGCCTGGAAATAACGGTTTTAGATGTACCTGACAAAATGTCAGGCAGTACAATGAAATGACATTTTCAACCTAGTGCAGGACATGTATTAATAATATCAATAAAAAAAGACAAATCAGTGCCGGACAAAATGACAGCCACCAGAGGTTTTGTGCCTGACAAAGCCTGAATCTATGTCTGACATTGTGACAGGTGTCTAATTTTCAGGCTTGCAGATTACGAAACGGTAGCACGACATTTTGACCCCGCGTCATTTTGGACTCAACACAGACGACCTTTCAAACTCAGTTTGACAACAGTACGGACTTATTTGACAACCTTTCGAACTCAGCCTGGCGACGTTTCGGACTCTTGACAATTTGTGTGAACAGTCCATATGCTGATTACAATTTTGCCTTATTACACTATTTTGCCTATACCGTTTTTTTAGGACTTCGAATTTTGTCTAATGGTTTGGATTGTCCGTACTTGGTTTTATTTTATATTTGTAACAGATATTTTTGGTTTTTTGTGAGGCCGATAGTTTTATTTAATTGATCAGCGATTGTTGAGACCACTAATAAAAAATTAACACTGTTAGTTCTCGTTTGTTTTGTTTCATCGGCGAGTATCTAACTTGACAAAAAAATGTTGTTGAAAATTTGTGTATACCGGTACTTAGTAATACTTCGTTGTTGTTCTTTTAAAAACAGTAAACGAGCTTGATTGGCCGATCACTGGTAATGTTTTATACATGCAATTGTGAAAACCTAAATGTCTTTTAGACGAATCGGAATAATCGAATCAACACACGGCCGCCATTATCGATGATTCAAAACTCATGTTTTTCCTCATCCATGAAAGAATCGTAAGGTTTCTTCGCGCATACTACAATAACATAGGGATTATCAGTTAATCAGCTTTAATTATCTCACTTTGATCGTTGCCAATTCTAATATTTTCAAAAAAGAGTTTTTTTTGTACGTGCTAATTTATCAGTTAATCGGCTCTAATTATCCCACTTTGATCGTTGCCATTTCTAATATTTTTAAAAAAGAGTTTTCTTTGTACGCGTTAATTTATCGATTGGTAGGCTACTGCTATCTATGGCAAGCTTGTTGAGGAATGCATGTCAACGTGTAGCTTACCGATTATCGTTAAACATCTCTAGGGCCTTGTAAAAACTGCATGTCAAGTAAATATTTACTTTTGTTTTTGTGTAGGTCATTTTAAAATAAATTCAACAGCATATTATTCTTTTTTAAAAATATATATTACTTTTGGCTTATTATAAATTCATTTGACAGGGATGTGGTCATATCGGCCAAAAACAAAAAAGTGACTCAAAAAGGCCCTACTTTAATCATAACGGCCAAACAGTTTGGTCATAACAGCCAATAAATTTGGTTAAAATGGCCAAAAACTTTAGTCGTAATGGACAAACATTTTTAATTTAATGAAAAACAATATATTTAAAGGAGCTAAATCGCTAATATTTTGGACCTAGAAATTGGCAAAAATGAGTCGCAACACATATAATAATGTAATATGAATTTATATAAACAGATTTACATTCAATCGTGTCCGTTTTACTGTGAATTGTCATCAGTTATGTTCGGCGAAATACGCCAGAAGTCTCAACCGCAAGTCAGTTTCTAGCGTCTGGTTATTCCAGTCAACACCGATATTATTTATTGCTCATGCTCTCCAAATAAGAACATGATATCACCGTTTGACATGACTTGTGGAATATGTCTAGCTTCATTCTTTGAGCACCTTGTTAGAAATGGCGCTGAAACGCATTATGGTACACGATTCGTGTATCAATGGTAAAATGTTTATTTTGTCTTAAATATTGGATATCAGAAGCCCATCTTTTCCAGGTAAGATCACAATACCAATGCTTATTTAAATTGCAAAAAAAAATCGTGTTTTCAATGTCAAAGATTTTGGATGATATTGAGTTACGGACTTCGCTACTTTAAACAAAACATTGTGCTACAGTTATACAAACCATGTGTCCTGGAGACATAACAACCAAAGCCAACCCGGAAAATTACATGCTGTAAAGTGTAATTGTAATTCAAAGGAAAGAGGTGAGAACTGATTGGATAATCCCTAATTAGGTACGTCACACCCTTTGATCTGATTACATTATTTACTGTGTTGAAAGTTATAATTACAAATTACAATATTATGTTACAATATTACAAAATTTGTAATATTACAAAATATATTTTAGGTTAAGCTATATTTACAAATGTATTTTAGGTTAAGCTATATATTTTATAGGTAAAATGAAGATGCAATACCTGATGATTTTTTACGTGCCGATATAAAAGTTAAAGTAGAAAGACATTGTTTTCAACAACAAGACAGTTGGCTTTGCTTGTTAAATCCGGGCAATGGTTTATTGATGGGACTTTTAAAATCGTGAAAAAGCCCTTTTATCAACACTGTAAATTATATATTTAGATGTATTATGTATGTGAAATATTATCGAAATAAATTTTATATTTTGTATGTTTTATACAATTTATTATGTATGTGAAATATTATAGTTTGTATTATGTATGTTAAAGTCTCTAACTTAATATCATATAAAGTCGTATATATACTCGTTGAAAACACAAATATTTGTCAATTCAAATCAACATTGATGTTGTGATCTTACCGGGAAAAGGTAGGCTTCTGATATCCAATATTTAAGACAAAATAAACATTTTACCATTGGTACACGAATCGTGTACCATAGTGCGTTTCATCGTCATTTGTAACAAGTGACCAGAAAGAGCGAGGCTAGACATATTCCACAACTCATGTCACACGGTGATGCCATATCTTATCTGGTGAGCATACGCAATAGACTGGAATAACCAGACGCTAAAAATTGCCATTCGGTTCAGACTCATGCTGTATATCGCTGGACATAACTGATTTGAAATTAGAGTCAAAACGGAAACAATTGAATGTAAATCAGTTTTATACCGATATTACATTATTATATGGGTTGCGACCCATTTGTGTCAATTTCTAGGCCACAAATATTAGCGATTTAGCTCCTTTAAATGTCTTTGTAAACTTACATATTAAAATAATTATTATGTAATGTATTTATATTCTGGTATTATTTATCATAGTATTGTGCAAACTTTTGGGCCGATATGATCAAATTTTTGGGCCGTTCTGACCAATTATTTTGGCCCATATGTTTTAGGGCCGTTATGTCTATAACCCATTTGACAGTTGTGTTCAACCTTTCCTTTCAACTTATTCCCGAGTCCGAAATGTCACACACCCGAGTCCGAAATGTCGACGGCATACTTTTTTGAGTCCGAAATGTAGTAAGTCCGAAATGATGCGAGACCGAAATGACATGTAATCTCGCATTCTTTATCTTACATGAACAATATTTATCTGAAAAATGATGATGCTAGCCGAGTACAGCAGTAGCCTACAGGTTTTTTTTTTTTTTTTGTTTTTTGTAAACAAAAAAGTATAAACAAGTCTAGATAAATAATAACCTTCGAACACACAAACAGATGTTTTGCTTTTCTCCGCTCTGCCAGTATCTCTTCGTTTAACTTCTCGTACGGTCGTCCACATAAACGTATCCATCGCCTGGCTTTATCGCGTGTTCTTCCAAGTTTTGGGAACGGAATAAAGGTTACTCCCCCTGCCAATCTCTCTGGGTACCTACTGTCAGAATTGCACGTACCCCAAGAACACCGCTTGACCATTATAACTGGTTTATGATAAAATCTTTTTTTGCGTCTGAGCTGACGGGCAAAATGGCGGACAAAATATATAGCCGGCTCGCGCAGAGCCGGAAATGAATTTTGATTGGGTTATTTACTGTTTTGATTCATGACTGCAATCGGTCAATAATTGAGTGTCGATTTTTCCATTAAGCTGCACTGCAGATTCGGCGAAAAGACAGCTTTCCTACGGAGGAAAAACAGCTAACTACCCGTATACCATTATTAATTTGCAAACTTACCGAGCGGAATCTCCCACCCGTATTCCTGGATTCGAAATGAAGTTAGCACACACATTCCTAGCGCCAATAAAAACCTATAAAATTTATCACGAGAGAAAGAATCTGAGAAATGGGACGTCCACGCGACACTTTTTTATTTATAGGTCATTTCGGAACTAACAGTAACATGTGGTTTAATTTTATTTCAATAATTAGCTTGAGGGGTCTTTAGCAGTGGGAGGAAACCGGAGGACAAGGAGAAAACCCACGGCACGAGGTTGGACAGGCGACCCTACTGTCATGCACGTACAACCGGGGATTCGAAACCACGCCAGTTGACTCAATGACAGGCTTCATGTTATATTTATCACGAAAAATTGTTACTTTGAACTTGGCTTTATATCAGAAAATAACATTTTAAAGGAGCTAAGTCTCTAACTCAATATCATCCAAAATCTTCAACATTGAAAACACGATTTATTTGTCAAATTAAATCAACATTCATGTTGTGATCTTACCGGAAAAAGATGGGCTTTTGATATCCAATATTCAAGACAAAATAAACATTTTACCATTGGTACACGAATCGTGTACCATAATGCGCTTCAGCCCCAGATGTATCAAGAGACTCGAGGGACGAGGCTAGACACATTGCACCAAATCAAACAGCGTATGTAGACTGGAATAACCAGACGCTAGAAATTTGCACTCGCTTGAGACTGCTGGCTTATTTCGCCAAACATAACTGATTTGAAATTGGAGTAAAAACAGAAACAATTGAATGTTAATCAGTTTATATACATTCATATTACAGTATTATATGTGTTGCGACCCATTTGTGTCAATTTCTAGGTCCCAAATATTAGCGATTTACCTCCTGTAAGACATAATGCAAGTATATAATAAACAAAAAAACAAACCACAACCAAACAAACTATTAGGCCTACCGTAAACATACTAAAACATCGCACACTAGGCTAACTGAACAAGCAGAAAAGGGTAGGCTATCCCACCTGTATTAAAAACCATCCAAACCGTGGCAAAATGTTTTCTTATTTCACAGAATCAAGGGATGAATAAATTACTAGACTGCAACATTCCAGCATATTCCTGAAGCAATGGCCCGAGAAATCCCTCTCTGGCCATTGCTAGATTGGCTTCTGATACTGTACAACAATGACAGACCTTCGTTTAATCTGGGGTCTTCCCTGAAACTCTGGACAGTGATTTAAAGGGGCTAAATCGCTAATATTTGGGACCTAGAACTTGACACAAATGGGTCGCAACACATATAATAATGTAATATGAATGTATATAAACTGATTTACATTCAATCGTTTCTGTTTCAAATCAGCTATCTTCGGCGAAATATGCCAGAAGTCTCAATCTAATGGCAATCTTTAGCGTCTTATTATTCCAGTCTACACCGATAGTATTTCTTTGCGCATGCTTTCCAGATAAGAATGTGACGTCGCCGTTTGACATGACTTGTGAACTATGTCTAGCCTCGTTCTTCGATTCCCTTGTTACAAATCGAGCTGAAACACATTATGGTACACGATTGGTGTACCAATGGTAAAATGTTTATTTTGTCTTAAATATTGGATATCAGAAGCCCATCTTTTCCCGATAAGATCACAACATCAATGTTGATTTAAATTGACAAATAATTCGTGATTTCAATGTCGAAAACTTTGGATGATATTGAGTTGGAGACTTAGCTACTTTAAGGTATTAAAAATGGTAAAAGTATTGTTCGTCTCCAAATAGTATTGTTTACATTGTATCCGTTTTGATAGCCTCGTTTGTTAGGCAATTAGTTTTTCTGCAATATTCTGCTATGCACTGGTTAATTGGGCATAAATTTCGTGAATCATGAAGTAAAGTTATGTAAACATTTAGTCCAATTTGGAGCTCTGTTTAAAGCCTAATGAAATTGTTACGCAGTTAGCTATTCGTTGTTAATAGGACTATTGACCAGTCATAATTTGGAACAGAAATTTGCTTCCATTACAGCAGTGTTAAGTGGAATTAGGTCAAATCGAACGAAACAGTGCAAGGAGTAGGCCCCTATGCATTTCAGAAGCCTCCTATATTACATTTTTGAGATATATTACCATAAACATACTTACAATATGGGGGAATCGTGTTAAGATAGGCTCACTGCGCACTCACTGAACTAGCTTTGGTGGATTAAGATCTTTATTTCACAAAATCGACAGATGCATAAGCTAAGAAAATGCTAAATTTTATTAACTTTCTATGTTGGCTTATCGAGTTATATCATCGTAAAGTTCCTAGCACACGGATTCGAGGCGAGGTTCATGGGTTGAATAAGCCAAGTGTACACCCATGCTGCATCAAAAAGCACCGAAGCCAACTTTGGTGGCAAAATGTTTCACAATATCAAGCAGCTCCTATGTTGCATTTTTGAGATACATTACTGTAAACGTACACATTAGCTTGCACGTTAAAGATCCCTTGGCAGTTGGAATTCGATAAAAGAGTAGGCCATAGTGCAGCGGTCCGGGCAACATTTCCCTCATAGCACACTGTATGCACGACTTCATTAGCCCAGTCAGAGCAGAAACATTAAACCACATTTGGTGGAATGGCCGAATGGTGAGCGCATTTGCGCTGTATCATAATGTATGTCATTGAGTCAACTGGTGTGGTTGTGATTCCCCGGTTGTATATGACAAGGAGTAGGGTCGCCTTTCCAACCTCGTGGGTTTTCTCCGGGTCCTGAAATGACTTAGTTCGTGTTGAGTGGATGTTAAACCCCATTCCCCTCCCTCCATTTATCATCAACCCATGATATGGTATTATTACTACGATTTTAGCACATCTCAGATGTGAAGTAATACACTGATCAGCAGTGGATATACACTAGACCGCTACAGAAATGAAGTGAAATGGGGTTTAACGTCCTACTGTTCTGCTCCGACTGAGCTAATGAAGACAGGCATAACGTCTATGAGGGAAATTTTGCACGGTCAGCGGCACTATGGCCTACTCTTATATCAAATTCCAAATGACAAGGGATCTTTTACATGCACGTCAATGTATACACTGGAGCTCAGTTTTTCATACCATCCAAACAACTAGACAGCTGTTCTTGTCAGGCCCTCCGTCCTACACCACTGACAAGGGGAAACCACGTCGTAAAATACGTCGTAAGATCTGGATGAACTTTCTCGGCCAATGCAGAGATCAAACACCCGACCTCCAGGCTAGTGAGCTAGCATCTTACCCACTAAGCCAACGTGGCTCCCTGACTAATGACGACGATGGCCGCTACAGTCACTGAAAGGGATGACAACTGTGTGGGCTAATTAACTTCTTTCCTTCTGTAAATTAAATTCTAGACTATTTTTTGAATTATATCTGTATAAAATTTGTCCTATTTAGTGTAAATGGGTATATAAAAGGAGTAAATTGAGTAAAAGGCGCCATTCTGCCCGTACCAGATTACACTAACACAAGGTACAATTTTATGGATACACAATTACTGAGTTTAAAGGAGCTAAATCGCTAACATTTGGGACCTAGAAATTGACAAAAGTGGGTCGCAACACATATAATACTGTAATATGAATGTATATAAACTGATTTACATTCAATGGTTTCCGTTTTTACTCCAATTTCAAATCAGTTTTGTTCGGCGAAATAAGCCAGCAGTCTCAAGCGATTGCAAATTTCTAGTGTCTGGTTATTCCAGTCTACATACGCCGTTTGATTTGGTGCAATGTGTCTAGCCTCGTCCCTGGAGTCTCTTGATACAACTGGGGCTGAAGCGCATTATGGTACACAATTCGTGTACCAATGGTAAAATGTTTATTTTGTCTTAAATATTGGATATCAAAAGCCCATCTTTTTCCGGTAAGATCACAACATGAATGTTGATTTAATTTGACAAATAAATTGTGTTTTCAATGTTGAAGATTTTGGATGATACTGAGTTAGAGACTTATAGCTACTTTAATACTAAGCGACATTTCGATGAGTATACTCTCATCTTTATCAAGCAAATGATACAAGTATGTAAATAGTAGGCAAATATATATACAGAATATGCAACAAAGATAAGAATTAAGCTTAACACCTTTTCAAAAATGTCAAACTGTTGCATAATCTAATATACTTGCCCTCTGATTTCACAATCTGGTTCATTAGTCTGGTAGCCACATCTCCATATTGATGACGTATATCATCTTTGATTGGCATTTAATAATTGAACAAACTAAGCCACGTTTCGACGAGGATACTCTCGTCTTTATCATTTGCTTGTGTCCAGTAAATGTCACATCAACTCGATTGATGACACAAACTTCAATAGATTTATAATCATATTTTATGACCTGTGTTCCAAGTTCAAAGCATGGTGTAGCCTCAGAAGAACTTGGTCAGGGTTAGCACCTGTCCTGTAGGGCTGACAAAGTACGTGTGCTAAGTCATTGGATTAGGGGGAGAGAGAAAGAAATGGAGTTTAACGTCCAGTTGACACAAACCAGGTATTTTTGGGACTAAAATGTGGTTCAATTTTATTTTAATAATTTACTTGTGCATAGGGGGTCTTTAGTGGTGGGAGGAAACCGGAGGACCCGGAGAAAACCCATGAGGTTGGAGAGACCTTCTGATCCAACGCGCATGCTTTAACCATTTGCCCCCGCCGGTTTCTGTGCAGCTAATAACTTGAAGATACATTATGGGAGATTAGATAAAGAGCTGACAGTTCTCGCTATAATAGTTAAAAATAGATAATGTAAAAGGAAAATGCTGAAAATTTCACTGTGAGCAGTGAAATACTAATTTTAATAACACTGTAGCCTTGATGGTCATTGTTGCAGTTGTTATGATAATTAACTAAGTCTCAATTATCCATTTTTATGGTTTATCAACAGCAGATCAGATTAAAATCTAATGAAAATCGGACCCATCAGCTGGCATCAAGAGTTGATTAAATTATGGTATTGTCATATTAATAAATGTCTAATTAATAGTTTATATAATATTTCAGGCATAGCGCGAGAGAGAGAGAAATGGGGGTTTAACGTCCACTCGACACAAACTAGGTCATTTCGGGACTAACACATGGTTCAATTTTATTTCAATAATTCGCTTGCGCGTAGGGGTCTTTAGCAATGGGAGGAAACCGGAGGACCCGGAGGAAACCCACGAGGTTGGACAGGCGACCCTACTCCTTGTCACGTACAACCGGGGAATCAAAACCCGGCAGCTGACTCAATGACAGACCGTATGATACAGCACGCGCATGTGCAAACCATTCGGCCATCCAACCCCCCTCAGGCATAAAGAAAGACCTACAATAGACAGATTTAACTCTTCCATACATATAATTCTGTTTGTCTAATAACCAATGAAATTTCAATTCCATATGTTTATATAAATACTGAAGAGAATTGAACCATTTTTTTAGACTGATCTTTTCCAAATAGAGATCTGCCTATTACTATATTGTAGTTAAACATAGATTATGCAAGAGCTAAATCTGTCTGTTGCAGGTCTTTCTTTAGGCCTGAAATGTTATCTATATTATTAATTACACATTAACTAACTTATCCAGACCATAATCAACTCTCTATCGCTTCGCTAGCCTGCGATGTTTATGGGATTAGGTTCCGATTTGCTGTTCGACTTCCATTCCCGATTTAATCATGAAATGGATAATCAACACTATGTTTTTTTATCGTACCGACTTTAGTAATGATGATCTACTTCATACTTTGAGAATAGATCGCAGCCCTAAATGGCCGCCATATCCAAAAATGAGCATACTGTTTTGTAATGCGTTCTACTCCGTTTCAAATATGTCATACACACAAAGACTAAACAATCTTTTTCAATTTTATTAAATGGATGCAGAATAAATTCTTAAACATACATTATGCAAGAGCTAAATCTGCCTATTGCAGGTATTTCTTTAGACCTGAAATGTTTTCTAAATTATTAATTAGAAATTAATTAACTTATCCACGCCCTAATCAACTCTCGATGGCATCAGATTTCTCCAATATTAAATAGATTAGAACAGTTCAGCCATATTTTGATTTAAGCTAAAAATGGAGGAGCCAGACTTAGCTTCGAACAATGCACACGCCTTGTCAAACATTCAAAGGGTAATATCTTCGCTCGCAATTAGACAGGCAGCCTAAGTTTAGTATGGTTGTCCTTGTGAGATATGACAGCAAGGGTCAATTAATTGATTGATTGATCGATTGACTGCATATATTTTTTAATTTGTTTTTAAATCGCTAAAATCTTGGTTCAGAGTGGATCAATTTGACTGTAATTTTCAGCAAATTCCCATTACATTATCTAGTTTTTAACTATTATAGTGAGAACTGCCAGCTCTTTATATAATCTCTCACCCACCTATTTACTCTTGCTTTTACATAATTCTATTTTTACAGTTTATATATTACTGTTTTTTATTTAAATGTGGATTTCTATATTTCTATTTTTACACGAACTACATATTTTTAAAACCCCATCTATATTCTATATTGATATTGTGATTTTATCCATTGTGTTATGTTATTTTTATTGTAAAGCGCATCTAAACATGTTTATCATGAAAGGAGCGCTATATAAATACATGTAATAATAATAATAATAATGTATCTTTAACAAGGGATTCCTATATCATTCAACTCAACTTCACGGACAAGAAAAAAAAAACATTAGTTTCAACAAAATTTGTCTTTGTGTTACAAAAAGTATTATTGTTAACAGAACCCTGACACTAATCATTTTGATGTACAGGGGAGAGAGAGAGAAAGAGAGAGAGAGAGAGAGAGTGCAGTGGCAATAGCCAACACTAATCACCAAGGAATTGGCCCTTCGCATTACCAAACACACCACTTGTCGAGTGAAAGCTTTGAATGACATTCCTTTATTTGATCAAGATTTATGATAGACTGATTATATTCTTGTATAGATTTTTGGGGGCCTATAATGTCAGAATACAATTTAGAGAGAGAGAGAGTTTAACGTTCACTCGACACTAAGGAGGTCATTTCGGGACTAACACATGTTTCAATTTTATTTCAATATTTTGCTTTGCACGTAGGGGTCTTTAGCAGTGGGAGGAAACTGGAGAACCCGGAGAAAACCCATGAGGTTGGACAGGATGATTAGAGAGTATTTTCCTGTCTATGAGTTTTCAGATGTCTCCTCATAGCATCTCGTCGTGAAAATGATTTATCGCAAACATCACAATTAAACGGTCTTTCGCCTGTATGAAACACCATATGATTGGTCAATTTATTATTCGAACTAAAAGAATTGCTACATAAACTACACTTAAAAGGTTTTTCTGCGGTATGAATTTTCTCGTGTCTCGTTAGACCGTCGATTCGTGTAAATGATTTGCCACAATTTGCACATTTAAATGGCCGTTCTCCCGTATGAATGCGCATGTGATTGGCTAGTTTATTCGCAGACGTGAACGCTAAATCACAATCCCCACATATATAAGGTCTCTTCACAAAATGACATTTTTTATGCTGTTGTAAAGCATTTGGATGGAAAAATTCTTTGCTACAGACATCGCATGTAAAATTCTTTTCTCCCGTATGGACGGAGATATGCTCCCCGAGAGAACGAATACAATTAAACGACTGATCACAAACATTACATTTAAACGGTTCCTCATCGCTGTGCATTTTCATATGCTCCTGAAGGACGTTCAAACGACTAAATAGTTCCCCGCAAACATCACATTTATTGGGTTTATAATCCGTGTGACTTCTCGTGTGCTGCAGCTGAGCATCGCTACGACTAAATGTTTTTTCACACAAATCACAATTATAGGGTTTTTCTCCGGTATGTATTCTCCGGTGCTGTACGAATCGCGCGCGGTGTCGGAATGATTTATCACAAACGGTACATTCATAGGGCTTTTCACCGGTATGAATTCTCATGTGAACTTGTAAATGGCGTTTGATTCGAAACGATTTCTCACAAATTCCACAAATAAATGGCTTCTCTTCAGAATGAGTTTTCAAATGTTCCGTTAAATTGCCTTTGTGATTAAATGCCTTTTTACAAACCGTGCATTTATACGGTTTGATTCGAAACAGCGATAATCTGGAAATGTCGTCCTTAAAAGATGTCCGAATGTCATCGATTTCTTCGTTCTTTATGACGGTTTTGTAGGCATTATGCAAATCAACATTGCAAGATACGTTGTTTTCATCCAAGTCACCCTCCTCACCATTTTCCTTCAGCATCTTCATTTTATTTGTGACATTATCAACTTTCTCTTCTTTGATATGTATTATATTATGGATTTCTAGATCACTGTACTCTTCAAAAATCTCATCACACACAACACACTGATGGAAAGTTTTAACATCGTTAGTTTCCTGGAATATTTAAATTTTAACATCATTTAGTGTCCTGTAATTAAAAACTGATATATATCTGCTGAGGATTAGAAAATGAAGTATTAGGGGAGAGGGAGGGGAGAGGGAGGGAAAAGGGATTTAAAGTCCCCCATACATACATTAGACAATATAAACAATAATAATTACATCCATTTGTGCTGAAATGTAGGGCGTTAAAACAATCTGATTAAAATACAAATATAAATTTTGTTTTGTTTATTTATACTTTCGATGGCCTCTACTACATGAAGATCTGACCGGATGTAGTGATAGGTTGCGTCAGAGGTCATACAAGCGACTTTTGACCCTATAACGTCAGACATTTGATTAATCAATCAACTTTTATACTGCTGAGTGATCTTTAATGGTAATAAAGAGAGAGAGAGAGAAATGGGGTTTAATGTCCACTCGACACAAACTAGGTCATTTCGGGACTAACACATGGTTTAATTTTATTTCAATAATTTGCTAGCGCATAGGGGTCTTTAGCAGTGGGAGGAAACCGGAGGACCCGGAGAAAACCCACGAGGTTGGACAGGCGACCCTACTCCTTGTCACGTACAACCGGGAATTCGAAACCACGCCAGTCGACTCAATGACAGACTTTATGACACAGCGCGCGCACGCTAACCATTCAGCCATCCAACCCCCCTTAATGGTAATAAAAGGGTGTTTACTGGGGGATAGACCATGACACACCGAGGCATTTATAAAAAAAAAATTTTAATACACGTTCAAAGCATGTCTTGTCTGTGATATCACCCTCAATTGAACCGCATGTTAAACACCAACAGAGCATGCCCATAAACGAATAAACCGTTCAGTCCATTTTTGCAGCAGGGAACCGGGACACGTTTATAACACATTGTAACCTGGTGAGAGAGAGAGAGAGAGAGAGAGAGAGAGAAGGAATCAACACAACTAGGTCATTTCAGGACTAACATGGTTTAGCGGTAATTTCATTTCAATAATTTGCAGGTCTTTAGCAGTGGGGGAGGATCCAGAGAAAACCCATGAGGTTGAACAGTGATTCTATTCCTTGTCACGTACAAGCGGGGACTTGAAACCATGCCACTTGACTCAATGACAGACCTGATCTAATTTGGCCACTTACCCCCCTAGTTGGAAGTGGAGTTAAAGGAGCTAAGCCTCTAACTCAATATCATCCAAAATCTTCAACATTGAAAACACGAATTATTTGTCAATTTAAAACAACATTGATGCTGTGATCGTACCGGAAAAGGGTGGGCTTCTGATATCCAATATTTAAGACAAAATAAATATTTTACCATTGGTACACGAATCGTGTACCATAATGCGTTTCAGCCCCAGTTCTAGCAAGAGACCAGAGGAACGAGGCTAGACATATTGCACCAAACCAAACAGCTTATGTAGACTGGAATAACCAGACACTAGGAATTTGCACTCGATTGAGACTGCTGGCTTATTTCACGGAACATAACTGATTTGAAATTAGAGTAAAAACGGAAACGATTGAATGTAAATCAGTTTATATATATTCATATTACGGTATTATAGTATTACGGTATTATATGAGTTGCGACCCACTTGTGTCAATTTCTAGGTCTCAAATGTCAGCGATTTAGCTCCTTTAAACACCTCGACTAACAACAACCAGCACACTGTAGTGAATAGCTGTAAATATTATATAGGCCTACCATTTGTTGAGAGGCAGGGTTAAAATTGACGTCATGCAATTGGCTAACTACACTCCTCTCTTGACTCTGACACTCACACTGTGACAGACGTTGGCCGCGAATGAAAAGACTGCAAAATCATATTTTAAAACTGATGCAAGGTTTAACAGCTCCCAGATCTTGTCTGTGGAGGCTGACGTTAAACTGCCGGATTCTACGACATGACAGAAGTCAAAGATCCCCAACTTTCACATGTCAAACATTTTCTTGTCGCAATCGATTATTTTAGACCGCCATCTTGCATCCATTTAACTCTTTGATGTATATATTATATACTTTGGACTTGAATCCTACCAACCCTAGTAACTCACAATATGTTTGGCATAAACGGTCATTTTACTTTAATTTATGACTTTGTTAACTCTTTGTGGGACACTTTGCTGATTTCATAAGCCATGGAAGATCAAAGGAAAACAAAGACTGGAAAGGTTAATTTTCTATCACTTTTAATTGTGAAAATTCAATGTTGTATGATTACAAAATTCTAGAATGCAAGCAAGGCCAAAATATCAATCAGTTTCACAGAGGTTTTTCAGAAGGCTTCTTATACCTTTATATCAGATGACAGACTAATATAAATTCAAGTATGCCTTCTACATGTGACTTGGGGGGTTGGATGGCCGAATGGTTAGCACGTGTGTGCTGTATCATAAGGCCTGTCATTGAGTCAACTGGCTTGGTTTCGAATCCCCGGTTGTACGTGACAAGGAGTAGGATCGCCTGTCCAAACCTCGTGGGTTTTCCGGTTTCCTCCCACTGCTAAAGACCCCTACGCGCAAGTGAATTATTGAAATAAAATTAAACAATTAGTCCCGATCGAATGACCTTGTTTGTGTCGAGTGGACGTTAAACCCCATTTCTCTCTCTCTCTCTACATGTGACTTAACATTATATGGTGTCAAACATTGGCTCGATATATGGCGCGAGCATTGTTTACATAAGACGTTGTGAGCGTGAACTGGTTCGGGCAGAATGGTGCCTTTTATTCATTTTATATACTCATTTACACTAAACAAAAATATTTTTATCCAGATGTACTTCAAGCACCTTTATTTATTTTTCTAATACTTCAAAAAAATGTTATAGAATTGAATTTGCTGAAGGAAAAAAGTTAAAAAAATGTTGTGCAAGAGGTAAATCTGCCTATTACAGGTCTTTCTTTAGGCCTTAAATGTTATCTAAATTATTAATTAGACAGGGGAACCAGGGTGGCTAAGTGGCTAAGACACTGGCTTGCTAGCCTGAAGGTCGCTTGTTCGAGTTCGATCCTAGAAATGGTTCCACTATTGATGTCTTCCGTCTTACTCCAGCTACAGTAGTGGATTGTTCAAAGCAGTTCCTCTGAGCAAGGTTTTTTTTTAGCTCCCTTAATTTCCACATAAAACTGACCCCAAATTGTATTACACATAGCTTAACGAACCAATTCCCATTGAAATAAAGGTGAAGCCTTACCACATAATTATATGATTTGATGAAACCCAACTGCTATGCGAAATTTCCCTTCTATCCAACTTTAAATGTCCACCCAACCAGAAATACATGTAGCATACGCACTCCATCTCATGTGATCATATGTCACTTTCCATATAGGGCATTCATAGTAAAAAAAAAAGTGTAGTAACACAGCCTTATAAGAGAAGCGATGGGTGGGGTTAAAGTGTGTGATATTTGGTGAGATTTCACCTGGGTGGTGTCATGACGACTTGTACATTATTATAAGAAATATCGCTTCGAAAATGTAGAACGCATTACCACAAATAAAAAGCTGTTCGGTAACTATTTTAGTGGTCCATTCTTCACTATTTGTGATAGAATTACTTATTTCAATACAAACTGTAATGATATGTGTTGACAATAATTGTGCGTTTAAACCTATTTTTTCTTGCGTAAGGCCTCATAGACTGAATCAATTGTAGAGCTAAACACAGTTAGCTACATGTAGTTCAATCCCTGCATTGGCCGAGAAAGTTCATCAGGATTTTCCGATGCGGTTTCCCCTTGTCAGTGGTGCAGGACGGAGGGTATGACAAGGACAGCTGTCTAGTCGTTTGGATGGGACGGAAAACCCTGAATCCGCTGCAGTATCCCCAGTGGTCTCATTCCGTTCATCCATGGGGGAGACACATATTCAAATTATCTGCCCTTGATGTTTGTGCTATTTTTATCAACCAATCAAAAATATCGTTAAATGCAGAAAAACAAACATAAAAATTACATCTTTCCCATCAAAAAGACATCTTTTTGTGTGCGTGTCACTTCTTTTATATTAATTTTCTTGCAGACTTTCTTATTATTGAGTAAACAAGGCGCCATATTATTGGCCAAGATCAACCTGGCACACTATAAGGATATTCACCACACGATAAGCAGAAATCTAGCTGGCACCTTGTAAGAAATTAGATGGACGACAATGACTGCAATGAAGTCACGTGATGTAATTCAAGCCTTTGACAAATAACATAAATTGAAAGTATTGTCTATTTTTAGTAAGTAGGTTACTGTGGACAGCGACATATTTCTTTGGACAAAACAACAAGGATTTTTCTCTTCTAAAGTACATGTAAGCTATCATAAATACCGAGATACCAAGGATGGTCCTGCTTGAATATAACCAGCGGCTGCCAGGCAGGATACGCCCACATTTTCAAGAGATGGATAGAAAACAAGCTAAAAGGAAAGTGATTTTTCCTACAATCAAGGGCTATAATTCAGGAAATTACAATTCGATATGCGCAAATATCGAAAGGAACCGAGATCTTTGGGTTATAAACTTACATTTCAAGTTTCAACAAAATCGGATAAAAATTGTGACCTCTATAGGGTCCACAACCTTGATATACCAATGTTTTACGCTATTTGAGAAGAGGGGCAGCCAATTTGTCTGTCAGTTTTGGGCCGACTTTCACGAAATACGAACTCAGCCGTCCTTAGGGTGTAACGGTGATATAATAATACGTTTTTTAAAATGGGATAAACATTATGACCTCTATAGGGTCCACAAGCTAAAAACGCGATTTTTCGTAGCCATAATTCAGGAAGTTAAGGGCCGATATGTGCGATTATTGAAAGGAACCGAGATCTTTGTGTTATAAACATACATTTCAAGTTTCAACAAAATCGGATAAAACTTGTGACCTCTATATATAGTGTCCTCAACCTTGATATATTTGATAACGAAGGGCGGCCATTTTATCTGTCAGTTTTGGGCCGATTTTCACGAAATTCGAACTTAGCCGTCCTTATGATTTAACAGTGATATAATAATACTGTTTTTTAAATCGGATAAAAATTATGACCTCTATAGGGTCCACAAGCTAAAAACGCGATTTTTCGTACAATCAGGGACCATAATTCAGGAAGTTACGGTCCGATATGCGTGAATATCGAAAGGAACCAAGATCTTTGGGTTATAAACTTACATTTCAAGTCCCAACAAAATCAGATATACCATATTTTTTACGCTATTTGGGAACGAAAGGCGGCCATTTTGTCTGTCAATTTTGGGCTGATTTTCACGAAATTCGAACTCAGTCGTCCTTAGGGTGTAACAGTGACCTAATAATACGTTTTTTTAAATCGGATAAAAATTATGACCTCTATAGGGTCCACAAGCTAAAAACGCGATTTTTCGTACAATCAAGGGCCATAATTCAGGAAGTTATGTTCCGATATGCGCGAATATGGAAAGGGACCGAGATCTTTGGGTTATAAGCATACATCTCAAGTTTAAACCAAATCGGATAAAAATTGTGACCTCTACAGTGTTCACAAGCTAAAAACATGATTTTTCGTACAATCAGGAGCCATAATCCATGAAGTTACAGTCCGATACATGCAAATATTGAGATCTTAGGGTGATAAACCTATATTTCAAGTTTCGTTGAAATCGGATAAAAATTGTGACCTGTAGACTGTTCACAAACAATTGTGGACGGACGGACGTCCGGACGGACAGGGGCGACAACAATATACGTCCACATGAAAATGTGAGCATATAAAAATAAGATTGTTTTGTTGTTTTTTATTGTAAAGACTGGATATAAAAATAACAAAGTAAAATATTTAAATATCAAAATGTTCCAATATGATTTTTCCTACAATCAAGGGCTATAATTCAGGAAATTACAATTCGATATGTGCGATTATTGAAAGGAACCGAGATCTTTGTGTTATAAACATACATTTCAAGTTTCAACAAAATCGGATAAAACTTGTGACCTCTATATGTAGTGTCCTCAACCTTGATATATTTGATAACGAAGGGCGGCCATTTTATCTGTCAGTTTTGGGCCGATTTTCACGAAATTCGAACTTAGCCGTCCTTATGATTTAACAGTGATATAATAATACGTTTTTTTAAATCGGATAAAAATTATGACCTCTATAGGGTCCACAAGCTAAAAACGCGATTTTTCGTACAATCAGGGACCATAATTCAGGAAGTTACGGTCCGATATGCGTGAATATCGAAAGGAACCAAGATCTTTGGGTTATAAACTTACATTTCAAGTCCCAACAAAATCAGATATACCATATTTTTTACGCTATTTGGGAACGAAAGGCGGACATTTTGTCTGTCAATTTTGGGCTGATTTTCACGAAATTCGAACTCAGTCGTCCTTAGGGTGTAACAGTGACCTAATAATACGTTTTTTTAAATCGGATAAAAATTATGACCTCTATAGGGTCCACAAGCTAAAAACGCGATTTTTCGTACAATCAAGGGCCATAATTCAGGAAGTTATGTTCCGATATGCGCGAATATGGAAAGGGACCGAGATCTTTGGGTTATAAGCATACATCTCAAGTTTAAACCAAATCGGATAAAAATTGTGACCTCTACAGTGTTCACAAGCTAAAAACATGATTTTTCGTACAATCAGGAGCCATAATCCATGAAGTTACAGTCCGATACATGCAAATATTGAGATCTTAGGGTGATAAACCTATATTTCAAGTTTCGTTGAAATCGGATAAAAATTGTGACCTGTAGACTGTTCACAAACAATTGTGGACGGACGGACAGGGGCGACAACAATATACGTCCACATGAAAATGTGGGCGTATAAAAATAAGATTGTTTTGTTGTTTTTTATTGTAAAGACTGGATATAAAAATAACAAAGTAAAATATTTAAATATCAAAATGTTCCAATATGATTTTTCCTACAATCAAGGGCTATAATTCAGGAAATTACAATTCGATATGTGCGATTATTGAAAGGAACCGAGATCTTTGTGTTATAAACATACATTTCAAGTTTCAACAAAATCAGATAAAACTTGTGACCTCTATATATAGTGTCCTCAACCTTGATATATTTGATAACGAAGGGCGGCCATTTTATCTGTCAGTTTTGGGCCGATTTTCACGAAATTCGAACTTAGCCGTCCTTATGATTTAACAGTGATATAATAATACGGTTTTTTAAATCGGATAAAAATTATGACCTCTATAGGGTCCACAAGCTAAAAACGCGATTTTTCGTACAATCAGGGACCATAATTCAGGAAGTTACGGTCCGATATGCGTGAATATCGAAAGGAACCAAGATCTTTGGGTTATAAACTTACATTTCAAGTCCCAACAAAATCAGATATACCATATTTTTTACGCTATTTGGGAACGAAAGGCGGCCATTTTGTCTGTCAATTTTGGGCTGATTTTCACGAAATTCGAACTCAGTCGTCCTTAGGGTGTAACAGTGACCTAATAATACGTTTTTTTAAATCGGATAAAAATTATGACCTCTATAGGGTCCACAAGCTAAAAACGCGATTTTTCGTAGAAACAGGGGCCATAATTCAGGTAGTTAAGTTCTGATATGCGTGAATATGGAAAGGGACCGAGATCTTTGGGTTATAAGCATACATCTCAAGTTTAAACCAAATCGGATAAAAATTGTGACCTCTACAGTGTTCACAAGCTAAAAACGTGATTTTTCGTACAATCAGGGGCCATAATCCATGAAGTTACAGTCCGATACATGCAAATATTGAGATCTTAGGGTGATAAACCTATATTTCAAGTTTCGTTGAAATCGGATAAAAATTGTGACCTGTGGACGGACGGACGTCCGGACGGACAGTGGCGACGACAATATACGTCCACATGAAAATGTGGGCGTATAAAAATAAGATTGTTTTGTTGTTTTTTATTGTAAAGACTGGATATAAAAATAACAAAGTAAAATATTTAAATATCAAAATGTTCCAATACTGTTGGCAGATATATAATAATCTAATCCTTCATGAAATCAGGTGTACCACATTTATGTCCACTAACAAGTCACTTGTGTCCCTTTGTTGATAAGGGGTGACTTATTTTGTGCTTCAAATGCCTGTTTGATGATAGTGCCAGTTCAATGTTTCCCCATTAGACTATATCAAGAAATAATAAATGATCAAAATTCAAAATACGTAAATAACAAACTGTCTGTGAATCAGTGGAACATCTACTTGTATTCTCTCATCCAATTTAATTAAAATACAGATCTATATTTCGTTTCCTTTTTTATACTTTCGATGGCCTACACTACACAAAGATCTGATCGTTTGTAGCGATAGGTCGCCTTAAAGTTCATACGAGCGACGTTTGACCCTATGACGTCAGACATTTGATTAACCAATCAGCATTGATGTTAGTAGTGGATTACCCACAGTTTGTGTCGAGTGGACGTTAAATCTGATTTCTCTCTCTCACTTATAGTCTTGTTTCCATTATTGTACAGGAGTAGTGCATCCTACTGACAAAGGTTGTAGAAGAGACGAAGAGAGAGAAATGAAATGAAATAGGGTTTAACGTCCTACTGTTCTGCTCCGACTGGGCTAATGATGATGGGATACACCATACAGTGTGCTATGAGGAAAATTTTGACCAGGTTGGAAATGAAATGAAATGGGGTTAATTTTCGTCCTACTGTTTTGCTCTGACTGGGATATTGATGATGGGATACACCATACAGTGCACTATGAAGGAAATTTTGCCCAGGCAGCGGAAATGAAATGAAATGGGGTTTAAGGTCCTATTGTTTTGCTCCGAACTGGGCTAATGAAGACGGGCATACGCCATACAGTGTGCTATGATGGAAAATTTGCCCAGGCATTGGAACTATAGCCTACTCTTTTATATCGAATTCCAACTGCCAAGGGATCTTTAGTTTTACATGCACACCAATGTGTACACGGGACCTCGGTTTTTTGTCCCATCCGAATGACTAGACGGCTGTCCTTCGCAGACCCGCCGTCCTGCACCACTGACAAAGAGAAACCACATCAGAAAATCCTGATGAACTTTCTCCGCCACTGCATGGATCGAACACGCAACCTCCAGACTAGCGAGCCAGCGTCTTATCCACCACAGCTCCTAAAATGTTTGTCTAAAGGTAGAAACAACACACTGATGGAAAGGTTTAACATACTTAGTTTCCTATAACATATAAACAACACACTGATGGAAAGGTTTAACAATGTTAGTTTCCTATAACACAGAATATATATTAAATATACATGTACCTAATGGAAGACCTAACTCTGCCTGTACATTGATATCCATGAAGTTTACAATGTTCTTCCAGGTCAAAATATTGCTCAAAGCAAATTTGACATAATGTACATTGATATAAAGTACTTGCAATAGATTCGCTCTCTTTAACATTTTGTCCTATGATAGGAGATTCTTCATATTCCATATGTATTTTACAATGTTCTTCTAAATCAGTGTATAAATCAAATTTTCTTTCACACAAGTTACACTGAAAATAATTCAAGTTATCAATTTCCTCTTCTTTAACATGTATCTTGTCGAGTTTTTCCACATCAATTTTTTTTCCTTTAACATGTTTCTTGTGAAGTTTTTCCACATCAATTTTTTCTTCTTTAACATGTCTTTTGCGGAGTTTTACAGCATTATCAATATCGTCTTTTTTAACATGTCTTTTGCGGAGTTTTACAACATTAGCAATTTGCCCCGTTTTAACATGTCTTTTGCAGGGTTTTACGATACTGTCAATCTTCTTGTTCACATGTAGTTCATAGTGAAGATCTAGATCACTGTACTCTTTAAAAATCTCATCACAAAAAACACAATGATGGAATGTTTTAACATTATTAGTTTCCTGTAATATATAAAAGTAAGAACATCATTAGTTTCCTGAAATATGTTAAGTTATAACATCATTAGTTTCCTGTAAGATATAAAAGTTATATTATTAGCTTCCGGTAATATATAAAATATATAAAACTTATAATATCATTAGCTTCCTGTAATATATAAAAGCTATAACATCATTAGTTCCCTGTAATATATAAAAGTTATATTATTAGTTTACTGTAATATATAAAAGTTACAGCAGTAGAATCTGTATGAGCAGCCACTCCTATTCAGAGACATCTCCTTGTAAGCGGTCACGATAAATTCCCCCCGTTGTTTCATCTCTTTACTCAACAGTCACTCCTCTAACGCTGCCAGCGGTCATTATTTTACTAATAAATTCAACAAAACATCGCCCATCCAACGGCCATTGTTGAATGATACCATCTTGTCGTTCTTTGTAACACACCCGCTAAGCTCGTGAGTAGTAGTTAATTAACTGGACCCCCACTGATCAGGTAAAAAGAATTAATTAATTAATTAATCTTTTGTTTTATTAAACGACCAACCTGATCATTGTTCTCACGCGTAACAACACATTATTTGATACTGATTGAATAAAATAAAAGTACCGAGTTTTGTCACGATCATCTAGTATCCCTTTTCCATTGACACTTTATTATTCCCTTGACACTAAAAAAAAATTTGAGTTGGCAGGTTTTGTAATGGCACGGTCGGGTTACCGGAAACATAACATTTTATTTTTTGGCCTTATGTTGAGTGGAGGTCCACCATTCAGTCAAGCGCTGAGGTTTCGAATACCCGCTTGTGTGTGACAAGGAGGAGGTTTGCTAAACCCTATTTCTCTCTCTCTTCGGGGATCACGTGGCTAAGTGGGTAAGACGCTGGCTCGCTAGCCTGGAGGTCAGGTGTTCGATCCCTGCATTGGCTGAGAAAGTTCATCCAGATTTTCCAGCGTGCACATAAAAGATCCATTGGCAGTTGGAATTCGATATAAGAGTAGGTCATAGTGTTGCTGCCCGGGCAAAATTTCCCTCATAGCACACTGTATGGCATATGCCCGTCTTCATTAGCCCAGTTTAGGAGCAGAACAGTAGGACGTTAAACCCCATTTCATTTCATTTCTCTCTCTTCGTCTCTTCTACAACCTTTGTCAGTAGGATGCACTACTCCTGTACAATAATGGAAACAAGACTATAAGTGAGAGAGAGAAATCAGATTTAACGTCCACTCGACACAAACTAGGTCATTTCGGGACTAACAGTGGAAGGAAACCGGAGGACCCGGAGAAAACTCATGAGGTTGGACAGACGACCCTACTCCTTGCCACTTACAAACGGGGATTTGAAACCACGGCAGTTGACTCAATGACAGACCTTATGATAAAGCGTGCACATGCTAACCATTCGGCCATCCATCCCCTCCAGGGTTTAACATATTTTTGTTCTGCTTCGACTGGGCTAATGAAGACGGCCATAAGCCATACGATCTTCTATAAGGGAAGGATTGTCTGAAAAAATACTGATGAAATAAAATGGGATTTAGCGTGATACTTTTCTGCTTCGACTGGGTTAACGATGATGGGCATATGTCATACAGTGTGCCATGAGGGCAATTTTGCCCGGACAGCAGCGCAAAAGCCTACTCTTATATCAAATTCCAACTGCCAAGGGATCTTTTATGCGTGCACCAATGTGTACACAGGACCTCAGTCTTTTGTCCCCATCCTGCACCACTCGCAAGGTGAAACCACGTCGGAAACAGCTGATGAAATTTCTCAGCCAAAAAAAAAAATATACAACAAAAAAAAAACATGAACTGCTTTTCTTTTTTTGTAGATAAGCTTACATGTAGATATCAAACATACCAGTTGATCTGGTGATCCTTTAAGGAGTTCATCTCTTGAAGCAGGAAGGGGTTGATCTGGTGAAGCAGCAAGGGGTTGATCTTGTGATCCAGGAAGGGGTTCATCACGTGATCCAGGAAGAGGTTCATCTCGTGATCCCGGAAAGAGTTCATCTCGTGATCCAGGAAAGCGTTCATCTTGTGATCCAGGAAGAGGTTGATCTTGTGATCCAGGAAGGGGTTCATTTGTTGAATCAGGAAGGTGTTCATTTGGTGAATCAGGAAGGGGCTTATCTGCAATGCTATCACGCCATTTACGCCAATGTTGTTGTAAATTTTTAATCAATTTGCTCCTTTTTCTTCTAGGCATTGTGATAGTTTTTCCTTATCAAACTTGTTCAGTTTGTTTTATCTAAAATAGAGAAAAAAATATTTCTAAACGTTTGAAATGAAATCAATGAAGACGGGCATACGCCATACAGTGTGCTATGAGGGAAATTTTGCCCGGGCAGCGGCACTATCGCCTACTTCCAACTGCCAAGGGATCTTTTACGTGCATTCCAATGTATACACGAGACCTCAGTTTTTCGTCCCTTCCACATGACTAGACAGCTGTCCTTGTCAGGCCCTCCGTCCTGCATCACTGACAAAGGGGAACCACGCTGGAAAATCTGGATGAACTTTCTCGGCCAATGCAGGGATCGAACACCCGACCTCCAGGCCAATGAGCCAGAGTCTTACCCACTTAGCCACATGATCCCTGAAAGTCCAGAGAGAGAGAGAGGAGAGAGAGACAGAGAGAGAAATGGGGTTTAACATCCACTCGACACAAACTAGGTCATTTCGGGACTAACATATGGTTTAATTTTATTTCATTAATTCGCTTACGGTCTTTAGCAGTGGGAGAAAACCAGAGGACCCGGAGAAAACCCACGAGGTTGGACAGGCGACCCTACTCCTTGTCACGTACAACCGGGGATTCGAAACCACGCCAGTTGAATCAATGACAGACTTAATGATACAGCACGCACGTGCTAACCACTAAGCCATCCAACCCCCCTGAAAGTGAGAGAGAGAGAGAAATGGGGTTTAACCTCAACTCGACTCAAACTAGGTCATTTCGGGACTAACACATGGTTCAATTTTATTTCAATAATTCACTTGGGAAGGAACCATAATATTCAACTGATAACATACTTATTATTTTTAACTTGCAACTGCATTCTATTTTATTTTGTGTGTAATTATAGTGTTCTTCCTATATTCTACTTGTATAATGTATATGTTTTGTAGTTTGGGAGTGACTTATCAAACTTCCCACTTTAAAATGCTATTGCATTTCTAATGATTTTAAATTTATCCTGATATTACATGTATATATGTCTTTGTAGTTTAGGAGGGACCTATGGAAGATTAGGTTTTTTTTTGCAAACTAAATACGTTGCCTCATTAAATAAAGTTTTTATTATTATTATTATTATTACTTGCGCGTAGGGGTCTTTAGCAGTGGGAGGAAACCGGAGGACCCGGAGAAAACCCACGAGTTAGGCCAGGCGACCCTACCCCTTGTCACGTACAACCGGGGAATTGAAATCCCACCAGTTGACTCAATGACAGACTGTATGATACAGCCCAGCGCGCACGTGCTAACCATTCGGCCATCCAACCCCCCATTTTTTTTAAGTGAATTCCGGTGTTTATATGTTTTTAAAAGTGAATTCCGGTGATCATTGGTGTTTTTCAATTATTTATTATTAATATTAATGCAAAATATATGTAAAGAGGTAGGCCTTGGGGTCAAATTTTGATATTTGCAAAGTGAATTCCGGTGATTTAGTATCCGCTCAAAATCTAAACAAAACAACTTTCAGACGCAGCCAAATGTTGACAACTTGTTTGCTTCTTTCAGCTGACAGCAAAATTCACAATTTTCAGTTACCTGCACTGCTAACACGTTAAACTTACATATCATATCCATTTTTTTTTCTCAAAATATTTTTTTACTGTTGATTTTTTAACGAGATTTCCAAAAACTCTACTGCAAACCGATAACTTGATCTTGACCGATCTGTAGAATATCTGTCAGTGTTTATACCCACAAATCTAACCCTAACCCTTCAGAATAGTTTTAGCCACAATCCACCGTTGTTACAGCTTCAATTTGTACGTTTGACATGTAATTTATAAACCTAACCCTAACCCTCGAGAAGATATTCTCCAGATGACACAATGATCTAGTATTATTCCCTTGGCGAACTCTAGCAAATTCAAATTTGAAACACAGAATTTCACACGAAACGAAATTTATCTATTTTTCAGTTATTTTCAATATTAAGTCATTGTAGTTATCTAATTTTGGCCTACCATGCCCAAAAATAGAGTCGACCCTAAGTCCAAATCAAATAGTCAGTCGAATAAACCGGTCGATGGCTTATTAAAATTTTGGAATCGTTTGTAATCAGTATAAGTTAAAGAAAAAACGCACTAATTCCAATATCTTTTATCATTGTTTTTGTTTATTTTTTACGTCCCCTCATGTTCAAATTTGATTGTTCAAATTAAAACTTTAAGGTGTTATTGCCACCGCGGCTTAATAAAGTCATGCTTTACTTTTTCCCTCATCCCCATATGCCCCCATCTTTTAAGTGCACGCCAATGTGTACACGGGACCTCGGTTTTTCGTCCCATCCGAACGACTAGACATCTGTCCTTGTCCACCTCCAAAAGAATATAGAGTCCCTATATATGATATGTTGGGTTAGGGGGGCAGGCATATGGGGATAAGGTATTTGACATTATCATGTGGCCTCGTCCAGTCAATAAAATCAGTCAGTTAGTTCAGTCGATAACATCAGTAAGTTAGTTCATGCTCGTCCCATCCGAACGACTAGACAGCTGTCCTTGTCCGCCTCGAAAAGAATAGAGTCAATATATATGATATGAACATGGAAAGGGGATGCGATGGGGCGGGGGGGGGGGGGAGCGTGTCGGGATAAGGTATTTGACATTTTCATGCGGCCTCGTCCAGTCGATAAAATCAGTCAGTTAGTTCAGTCGAATAATCCAGTCGAATAAACCAGTCGAAAAGTTCAGTCGAATACTTCAGTCGAATAGTTCAGTCGAATAAACAAGTCGCTCAATATTAAGTAGCGGTGGCAGCGGGCTAAGATAATTAGTAGCAAATCATGCTCGTAGCCATAGCTGAAGGAGCCGGGGGCATGGGGTAGGGACCTGGGGGCTTCCCAACTAGTTTCAAGAAATGAAACGAAATGAAATGGGGTTTTAACGTCCTACTGTTCTGCTTGGAACTGGGCTAATGAAGACGGGCATACGCCATACACTGTGCGATGAGGGAAATTTTGCCCGGACAGCGGCACTACGGCATACTCTTATATCGAATTCCATCTGTCAAGGGATCTTTTACGTCCACGCCAATGTATACACGGGACCTCGGTTTTTCGTCCCATCCGAAAGACTAGACAGCTGTCCTTGTCCGCCTCGAAAAGAATAGAGTCCCTATATATGATATGAACGAAGAAAGGGGATGGGGTGCGGCGGGGGGGGGGGGGGTGAGGTATTTGACATTTTCATGTGGCCACGTCCAGTCGATAAAATCAGCCAGTTAGTTCTGTCGAATAATCCAGTCGAATAAACCAGTCGAATAATTCAGTCGAGAAGTTCAGTCGAATACTTCAGTCGAATAGTTCAGTCGAATAAACAAGTCGCTCAATATTAAGCAGCGGTGGCAGCGGGCTAAGATAAATAGTAGCAAATCATGCTCGTAGCTATAGCTGAAGGAGCCGGGGGTATGGGGTAGGGACCTGGGGGCTTCCCAACTAGTTTCAAGAAATGAAAAGAAATGAAATGGGGTTTTAACGTCCTACTGTTCTGCTTGGAACTGGGCTAATGAAGACGGGCACACGCCATACACTGTGGGATGAGGGAAATTTTGCCCGGACAGCGGCACTACGGCATACTCTTATATCGAATTCCATCTGTCAAGGGATCTTTTACGTCCACGCCAATGTATACACGGGACCTCGGTTTTTCGTCCCATCCGAAAGACTAGACAGCTGTCCTTGACCGCCTCGAAAAGAATAGAGTCCCTATATATGATATGAACGAAGAAAGGGGATGGGGCGGGGGCGGGGGTGTGGGGTGTGTGTGAGGTATTTGACATTTTCATGTGGCCTCGTCCAGTCGATAAAATCAGCCAGTTAGTTCAGTCGAATAATCCAGTCGAATAAACCAGTCGAATAATTCAGTCGAAAAGTTCAGTCGAATACTTCAGTCGAATAATTCAGTCGAATAAACAAGTCGCTCAATATTAAGCAGCGATGGCAGCGGGCTAAGATAATTAGTAGCAAATCATGCTCGTAGCCATAGCTGAAGGAGCCGGGGGCATGGGGTAGGGACCGGGGGGCTTCCCAACTAGTTTCAAGAAATGAAAAGAAATGAAATGGGGTTTTAACGTCCTACTTTTCTGCTTGGAACTGGGCTAATGAAGACGGGCATACGCCATACACTGTGCTATGAGGGAAATTTTGCCCGGACAGCGGCACTACGGCCTACTCTTATATCGAATTCCATTTGTCAAAGGATCTTTTACGTCCACGCGAATGTGTACACGGGACCTCGGTTTTTCATCCCATCCGAACGACTAGACAGCTGTCCTTGTCCGCCTCGAAAAGAATAGAATCCCTATATATGATATGAACGAAGAAAGGGGATGGGGTGGGGCGGGGGGGGGGGGAGGTTTTTGACATTTTCATGTGGCCTCGTCCAGTCGATAAAATCATTCAGTTAGTTCAGTCGAATAATCCAGTCGAATAAACCAGTCGAATAATTCAGTCGAAAAGTTCAGTCGAATACTTCAGTCGAATAGTTCAGTCGAATAAACAAGTCGCTCAATATTAAGCAGCGGTGGCAGCGGGCTAAGATAATATAGTAGCAAATCATGCTCGTAGACATAGCTGAAGGAGCCGAGGCATGGGGTAGGGACCGGGGGGCTTCCCAACTAGTTTCAAGAAATGAAAAGAAATGAAATGGGGTTTTAACGTCCTACTGTTCTGCTTGGAACTGGGCTTATGAAGACGGGCATACGCCATACACTATGCGATTAAGGAAATTTTGCCCGGACAGCGGCACTACGGCATACTCTTATATCGAATTCCATCTGTCAAGGTATCTTTTACGTCCACGCCAATGTATACACGGGACCTCGGTTTTTCGTCCCATCCGAAAGACTAGACAGCTGTCCTTGTCCGCCTCGAAAAGAATAGAGTCCCTATATATGATATGAACGAAGAAAGGGGGTGGGGCGGGGGGGGGGGGTGAGGTATTTGACATTTTCATGTGGCCTCGTCCAGTCGATAAAATCAGTCAGTTAGTTCAGTCGAATAATCCAGTCGAATAAACCAGTCGAATAATTCAGTCGAAAAGTTCAGTCGAATACTTCAGTCGAATAGTTCAGTCGAATAATCCAGTCGAATAATTCAGTCGAATAAACAAGTCGCTCAATATTAAGCAGCGGTGGCAGCGGGCCAAGATAATTAGTAGCAAGTCATGCTCGTAGCCATAGCTGAAGGAGCCGAGGGCATGGGGTAGGGACCGGGGGGCTTCCCAACCGGTTTCAAGAAATGAAAAGAAATGAAATGGGGGTTTAACGTCCTACTGTTCTGCTTGGAACTGGGCTAATGAAGACGGGCATACGCCATACACTTTTCTATGAGGGAAATTTTGCCCGGACAGCGGCACTACGGCCTACTCTTATATCGAATTCCATCTGTCAAAGGATCTTTTACGTCCACGCGAATGTGTACACGGGACCTCGGTTTTTCATCCCATCCGAACGACTAGACAGCTGTCCTTGTCCGCCTCGAAAAGAATAGAATCCCTATATATGATATGAACGAAGAAAGGGGATGGGGTGGGGCGGGGGGGGGGTGAGGTATTTGACATTTTCATGTGGCCTCGTCCAGTCGATAAAATCAGTCAGTTAGTTCAGTCGAATAATCCAGTCGAATAAACCAGTCGAATAATTCAGTCGAGAAGTTCAGTCGAATACTTCAGTCGAATACTTCAGTCGAATAATCCAGTCGAATAATTCAGTCGAATAAACAAGTAGGACGTTAAAACCCCATTTCATTTCTTTTTATTTCTTGAAACTAGTTGGGAAGCCCCCCGGCCCCTACCCCATGCCCCGGCTCCTTCAGCTATGTCTACGAGCATGATTTGCTACTATATTATCTTAGCCCGCTGCCACCGCTGTTTAATATTGAGCGACTTGTTTATTCGACTGAATTATTCGACTGAACTATTCGACTGAACTTCTCGACTGAATTATTCGACTGGTTTATTCGACTGGATTATTCGACTGAACTAACTGACTGATTTTATCGACTGGACGAGGCCACATGAAAATGTCAAATACCTCACACACACCCCACACCCCACACCCCCCGCCCCACCCCATCCCCTTTCTTCGTTCATATCATATATAGGGATTCTATTCTTTTCGAGGCGGACAAGGACAGCTGTCTAGTCTTTCGGATGGGACGAAAAACCAAGGTCCCGTGTATACATTGGCGTGGACGTAAAAGATCCCTTGACAGATGGAATTCGATATAAGAGTAGGCCGTAGTGCCGCTGTCCGGGCAAAATTTCCCTCATCCCACAGTGTATGGCGTATGCCCGTCTTCATTAGCCCAGTTCCAAGCAGAACAGTAGGACGTTAAAACCCCATTTTATTTCGTTTCATTTCTTGAAACTAGTTGGGAAGCCCCCAGGTCCCTACCCCATGCCCCCGGCTCCTTCAGCTATGGCTACGAGCATGATTTGCTACTAATTATCTTAGCCCGCTGCCACCGCTACTTAATATTGAGCGACTTGTTTATTCGACTGAATTATTCGACTGAAGTATTCGACTGAACTTTTCGACTGAATTATTCGACTGGATTTTTCGACTGGATTATTCGACAGAACTAACTGGCTGATTTTATCGACTGGACGTGGCCACATGAAAATGTCAAATACCTCACCCCCCCCCCCCCCCCCGCCGCACCCCATCCCCTTTCTTCGTTCATATCATATATAGGGACTCTATTCTTTTCGAGGCGGACAAGGACAGCTGTCTAGTCTTTCGGATGGGACGAAAAACCGAGGTCCCGTGTATACATTGGCGTGGACGTAAAAGATCCCTTGACAGATGGAATTCGATATAAGAGTATGCCGTAGTGCCGCTGTCCGGGCAAAATTTCCCTCATCGCACAGTGTATGGCGTATGCCCGTCTTCATT